CTAATCTGTATGCTTTCTCATGACAGAAGTACTGTATCATCTCCACCTTCAGCACAATACAGGTACCAGGATTATGAGATATCGGGTGCTGCTGTTGAAGAGCTCAATTGACAGTAGCATATTTCACAGCTTCCTTGAGAAGCTTGGACAGAATATGGTTATTTTCATTCTCATTGAAGTCATCCAAGCGCTTATTCTAGGACTTGTTTCAGACTTTAATTATATTTGCCATCGGATTTAATAGGTTAATCCTATTTAGTCCTTTGGTTTACTTCACGCAGACCTAATATCTCTACATTTGATTGCTTTGATGCTCTCTAGTTCAATAATATAGAAGAATCATGCCCCAAAAGTGTCCTGATTTTTTTTGATAAATAGGAAGAAGACATCTCCTCTGTTAATGAATGGGAAAGATATGATTTTCAACAATGTTAACTACTTGCATTCATGGCAATATTTCCTTTTCTAAATGTGGTGAGTTCACCCTGGCTGGACACCAGGTGCTACCAAAGCCGCTCTATCACCCCTCACCTCAGCTGGACAGGGGAGAGAAATATAATGAAAGGCTCGTGGGTCAAGGTAAGGACAGGGAGAGATCACTCACCAGTTACCGTCACGGGCAAAACAGACTCAACCAGAGGAAAATTAATTTAATTTATTACCAATCCAATCAGAGTAGAGTAATGAGAAATAAACCCAGATCTTAAAACACCTTCTTCCCACCCCTCCCTTCTTCCCAGGCACAGCTTCACTCCCAGATTCTCTACCTACCTGCCCCAAGCAGAGCGGGGGACGGGGAATGGGGGTTACGGTCAGTTCATCACATGTTGTCTCTGCTGCTTCATCCTCCTCAGGGGCAGGACTCCTCACACTCTTCCCCTGCTCCACTGTGGGGTCCCTCCCATGGGAAACAGTCCTCCACGAACTTCTCCAGCGTGGGTCCTTCCCACGGGCTGCAGTTCTTCACAAACTGCTCCAGCATGGGTCCCTTCCACAGCGTGCAGTCCTTCAGGAGCACACTGCTCCAGCGTGGGTCCCCCACGGGGTCACAAGTCCTGCCAGAAAACCTGCTCCAATGTGGGCTCCTCTCTCCACAGATCCGCAGGTCCTGCCAGGAGCCTGCTCCAGCGCGGGCTTCCCATGGGGTCACAGCCTCCTTTGGGAACCCACCTGCTCTGGTGTGGGGTCCTCCCTAGGCTGCAGGGGGACAGCCTACCTCACCATGTCTTCCCCACGGGCTGCAGGGGAATCTCTGCTCTGGCACCTGGAGCATCTCCTCCCCCTCCTTCTTCACTGACCTTGGTGTCTGCAGGGTTGTTTCTCTCACACGTTCTCACTCCTCTCTCTGGCTGCTGTTTCTGTTGCACAGCAACTTTTCCTCCTTCTTAACATAAATATCACATTTATCACAGAGGTGCTACCACCATCGCTGATGGGCTCGGCCTTGGCTGGTGGCGGGTCCGTCTTAGAGCTGGGTGACGTTGGCTCTGTTGGATGTAGGAGAAGCTTCTAGCAGCTTCTCACAGAAGCCACCCGCATAATCCCCCCGCTACCAAAACCTTGCCGTGCAAACCAATACACTAGACTGTCTTCTTTCTAAAAAATTCTGGGTTGCTTAAATGAATAAGTTTAAATGCAGTTTAGCCACTATGTCTGCATGCGGTCTTCTGTTTGAAACATTTTCATTTTTTACAGTGATTACAGTAGGTATTACTATCAATTAAAGAGCCTTCTCCATCATGGTTTTGTGCCACATTGTCTTCTGTTTTGATTTTCCTGTCATGTGTTTAGAGTAGGACCTTTTTATGATTGGCTCATTTTTCACTTCTCAAGAGCAAGATAAATGAATGGCATGATACTCAGATGGCCTATTTCAGAAAGAAAAGCTCACTTCATCCTAGCTTTCTCATGAACACTGTATCAGAATTTTGTATTAATTAGTGTTATTGGCTGTTGGTTTTTTTCAATTTAAATGACGTGGCATGCTCGTGATTTAGCCAGAGCCATTTTTTTTGGACAATTTTCAGGACTACTGGTAGTATCAGAAAAGTAAAGGTACAGTAATTAGAGTTTGAAGATAAGCGAGAACATTTTTGGAGAATATTCCATTATGTTGTTTGGCCAGCTAATGAAATTCTGTCTGTGCACTTGAATGGCATTGTTGGCTGCTTGCAAGTAATTCAGGTCTGGGCACCTGTAGGATTTCTATTTGTTCCTTAGTACATGTTTTTACAGACCATTATGTCTGTTCAAAAAGTGAAACTTTGGGAAAGTGATGTTGCTTCTTCATCTGTGACTCTGAGACCCACTTGTGACACTTCCTGACCTCAGGGGACCAAGCATGCACCCTGTTATCTAGCTACATGTGAGAGGGCTTTTTATTTATTACATGTTACTGTACAACACCCTTCCTTTCCAGGGCTGTGTGCCTTAAATGAGGGTACACTCTGTTACCTTTGAAGGTGCTGGAAGTTTTGCTTAGAACCAGGATCAGATTCATGACACCTTTTGGTGAGCAATATCGTGTTCTTATCTATAAACTCTTACAAAACTTAAACCATTTTAAGGTAAAGCGCAAAAAAAATTAACTGTGATATCTAAAGCAAACAACACAGTTGAAAATGCATATAATAGATGTAGGCAAAGAAATGAAAAAAATCCCACATCTATTTAATCTTGGCATAGCTAGTTGAAATCAGAAAGCTCTAACATTTATCCAGCTAGTGCATTAACTTAAGAGAATGGTGATTGATATTCTTGGAGGGGTGGTTTTTGTATATATTTTACTGTCTCTGCCTCTTCCCTATTCTATCATTGTGTGTATGTGGCTGGGTTTTGATTAGTAAAGGAACTGAACTATGCCTTCAGTTGTTCCCTGTGCGTCTTTGTATTTCAGGTGGGTGACAGAAGGAAAGATAGTTCACATAGTTATGGAAGCTGGGATGGCTGAGAAGCTACTGATCAGCTAAAGAATTCCACCTTGTGATGTTTGCTCCTGGGCTGAACATGTGCAGGCACTACGTCTTAAGAAAAACTTTGAGCTGAGAATCTTCATATCTTTTCAATTTCAAGGATAACTTCTGTTATTTTCAGTCCTAGAGGAGATTCTCCGTCATACTACTGAGGAGAGATTATAGAAATCTTAACTACATATATTTTAACAGTTATTCAGACTTGTGTTTTAATTTAAGTGTGTTCTTAAATGCTCTGTTGGGCTGGCATGAGGGCTCTTGGTGGGTGGTGAAATTCTTCGTATTCTGTAAGTGTAGTAGCAAAATGTTTAGTTTTAGGAGTTGTTTTAGTTACAAAAAGCATATAGAAAAGTGAAGAAAGGTTGTAGGTAGAGAACATTACATTTGCTCCTCTGTACTAGACTTCTTACCCGGTGGAAGTGTTAGGGAATGCATGTGCAAAGATCGATTAAGTCTAGTAGTTTTAACAAATTATAAAAGATCTGTGATACAAGAAGAGTTCTGTGATTACCAGTTCTTGCATCTGTATGCCAGCGCTAAATACCTCCCAACTTGTGGTTAAGCAAAAATTGACTCGTATCCTGAGGGCTGAAAGGTGCTCTCAGCATCAGTGCTCTCGGCTGCTTTGGAGTCCCCGTGTGCAGAGGACAGCACTGCGCCCCACTTACCGGGCTTGTCTGGCTGGACTTGTGGGCTTCCTCAGCTTGTGTTACCAGATCATCGGAAATCTGCCCTGCACCCAGCACTGCTGGAGCCATTTAGCTTGGGGAGAGCGCCAAGAGCCAGCCCGAGAGCTCTGAAGTCTGCCCGTCGGACTTAAAGGGGAAAGTTCATTGCAATTTCAACCAAAGCTATGAAGTTAACGTAAAGCAGTCGGAAGAAACACCTACGTGGAGGTTTAATGTGTGTGCACTGTCAGCTTCAGCTGATTCGTAGTAACTCTTCTGAGCATACTAAGGCAAAGATAAATGCGGGCTTTGCTTGTTAGGTGACGTTTGTTAAAGGAACTTCAAGATTCCTTAAAGAGTGTCATATAATTAGGATTTACCAGCTTGTTTAGAGGTACTCTTAGTTCTTTAGGTAATTGATGAAAGAAATTACAGTGTTTCAGCAGAAAGCATATTGCAATTGCAGCAGTCCATTTATTTTTTCAGTCCATTTACTGATGAATTTGCAGTTCTCATTTCAGTTTAGGTGAAGTAATAATAAACAGAGGATAGAGTTTATCTCCATCCGGAATGTTGTAATGCAGTAATAATAGCAGGCATATTTGTTCTCATCAGCTTGGCTTCCATTTTCTTATTAATGGCAGTAAAATCTACAGTCTGCAATTAATCATTTGGAAGCAACAGTAGCGTAGCACCTTCTTTAGTTTAATTTCAGTTTATTGGATTTTAAATTCGTATTGTTGTTTTGGGTTTGTTTATACTTGCCATGGTCATGATCCTGATTTTTCATTATAAGATTCAAGTATTAAATTTTTACTGTTAGTTCTGTCATAGCTTTTCAAGGTGCTGTGTCAAAAGGGAAGCATAGCCACTTCGAACCTGTGTACAATTTCTGTGAACTTTTCTCTTACTATAAGTATTTACAACACTATTTTCAGCTGCCAGCAACACTGCTAGAAAGAAAATAATGTGCGTAAGTCATTTTCAGATCATCTGAAGCGATGATTGTCTCTGCTGGGCTAGAGCTCCTCAGCATGCACTTTCTCAGAACCTGCTCTTTACTTGTGCTACGTGGTATGGGGTTTGCATTTTATGATGCTGGGAGAATTCTAAGTAGTAAAAATATTCCATACTTTAAAGCAGCGCTTGTCTAACCTGTGCTGCTGAACTCAGTGTCTTGGCAGAGCAGAACTAGCTATGGCTTTGAGGAGCAAGAAGTGGATAAGATACATTGTCATTATTTGCTTTAAAATAATAGTCTTTTATCTTTGATGCATGAAGTAGTTAGCTGGCATCATTAGGTCATGTTCAAGCAATATTATTTAGATCTTAAGGTTTTTTTTCTTTTTTCCCCCCTCAGTTTGTAAGACTTGTATTGTTCAACACTTTGAAGACAGCAATGACTGCCCCAGGTGTGGCAACCAAGTGCATGAGACCAATCCACTAGAAATGTTAAGGTAAGATGACATTGCACAACATTTGCTGAAATAGAAGAACAAAAAATTTACAAAATCTTAATATCTTTATCCTGAAAGGGAATTAATTTTTTAGCTTATTTGTGTAATATATCAACTGTTCTTGGCCATAGATTCTGTCAATTTCTAATCTCACAGTAAATTGTAAATTGAGTTTTTTCAGATATAATAAAAGGAGGAAAGATAAGGGAAACACACAGAAAGACTGGGTTTATTGTACAAATTAAAATAAATATTTTAATACCTGTATTAAACAAATAAATGAACCAGATACCTTTTATTCTTTACATGAAATTAAATTCTAAAATTTCTTTTTTCAAATGATTTAGGGCATTCCAAACTGCATGCAACTTCTTTTCTTCTTAGAGCAATGTAGAAAATGAATCATGCACATAACTGAGTGTTTTCCAGGGCGTAGATCTACCAATCTGAATTGAAATCTGCTGTCAGATTAATGAAAAGACACTCACGAAAGAAAGTTTTGACACTAAAAATACCCTTTCTTGAGAGTTTGCATTTTTTATATCACAATAACTCATCTATTTTAAACGATTATTTTTCTTGAAATTCTGGATTCTCTTTTAGTGACGTTATGTTGAAACAAAGGTGATAGCCATCCTACAAGTATAGTACAGAGAAATCAAGAAATGTCATCATAAGTGGAAGAACTTCATGTTTTCCTGAAATGATGAATCCACTCCCTGCCCTCACTCCCAACACTCCCTCACCCCTTAACCCTCCAATATTATTAGTTTGTAATACTGTTGAGAACTTACGAAGAAATACTCTTACATCAATGTTAAAATAAATATTTACATCTGGAATATACTAGTGATGGTATTATTTCCTAATGTCATTGTGTTTGCTACAATTTGTCATGTTTTTCTTTGATTTTTGACTGATATGTGTGTGCATAGTAATTCTCATGCTTCCATTATATACCAAGAGGATAGGTGAGAGAGATTAAATTCAGCAACTCTAAAGGGTGTTATTAGCTGAAGCCTTTATCATCTGAATGGTTTTTGGAAGTGTAGGGCTAAAAGAGTTTATGTAGGTATTTACCATAAGTATTTTTCTGATCTCCTGTCAGTGTCTGAGGCGCTGTCAGCCATAACAGAAGATGCTATACAGAGTGCATAAGGTACTAATAAGCTGAAAACAAAAGCATTTTAGAAATATTTCTTTTATTCTGACAGGACCATTTCATAGGAGCTGAAAAATGCATTTTCTGAAACATCTAGTAGATGTTTAGTAAATGAATACTGTGCTTTAAGCAGGAAATGATGGAAGGGTGAGAAAAGTTGAGACCCTAAGCCAAAAATGTGGGAATAGCTATTTTCTCTGCAATTATTTCCCGAAACTCCTTTTATAGTCATTGGGTTTATTTGGCAACAAACTGCATATAGCTAGCAGTTTGCTGGTTGTATTTTATGAAACAGTCTTAAACATTTGTTAAACTAATAAGCAGAAGAGCACGAGCAGTGTAATGGAATTATCTTTTTGGGATGTTTCCTGCATAACTTAATACATGTCTTATACTCTGACTGTAGATACCAGCCCCATCATTGCTCAAGAATGCAGTCATTTTCTGAGAAATTATGTTGAACACTCTGGATAGTATTTTTTAACTGAGATCTTTCAGATAAACCTTATAAACTACTTTATAAACTGAATTCTGAATACCTTCATAACTATGTGAGTTTTTTAAATGTATCTTTTAGTGGGCAGCACTTAGGGTCTGTTGAAACTATAAGCCTAAGTCTGAAATTCAACACTGAGCTCTAAAATGAAAATCTAGGAAGAGTGTTAAATTCTAGAATTCCCTTTCCTGATCTAGCAGAATTCTGCATCATCACTATTCAATAGGGTCTGCATTGGTTATACCATGAAGGCAGGCTTCTTTTTTTCTTGGTAGCGTGCTGCTTTGGATGCAAGTTTTCCTGAGTGATAGTCTTTGTTTGCCTCACTTCAGATAATTAGCAGTTATCAGAGAGTAGCTTTGATCTTATAAGTCATTCAATATTATAGAAGAGGTGAAAAAAGAAACTATACAAAGCTGACATAAATGCTTGGTTCTTCTTTCTATATGTTCTGGTTTGGAGGTTGGAAGATGTGGGAGTGGAAAGAGGTGTGTCTAAAATATTAATGTTCTTGTTTCAGCATTAACAGGAAGTATATTAATTGACTGAGACCAACTTTATGTCAAGTAGTTTCATTTTGGAATGGGTTTGATGCAAGTCACAGAAATACAAATCTTTGTTAGAGTGCTCATAGGCATGGATAATAGGAACATTGTAAGAAGCATCTGAAATTGAGAATCTTTTTATAATTTCCTGGTTTTTTCCCCTATAGTTTAAGTTTAGTTTCCCTATACTTAAAGATCAGATAAGTGTTATTTTTTCTGCATTTTTAAAGTATTGGTTAGTATTTATGCTTCATAAGGATGAAATAGCTCTTTTTTGTTTAGTTTCTGAAAGAAAATAAAGGAATTGACTAGACTATGAAGCCAGTTCTTGCTGCTAGCATCGTAAATTTGCTAAGTATGCTGGTTTTCTTGTGATGTTAGCATTACCAGTGACATTTGTTTTGGGCCATTGAAGACAAATTAGAAAGTGCTAAGTGGGAATTTTCAAAAATAAATGTAGAAAAAACAGATGTATCATACCATCCTGAGGAATGGTTAGTGGGATTTTGAATTAAGGTAGTGATGTTCTCTTTTGAAGTCCTTATTTCTTTTCTCTTAATATGTTATGAAGATTGGAGCTTTCTTACAGTGTGAAATGGATTCCATTTCCAAGACAGGTTCCCAAGCTCCCAGTGCTCTGCTGTGGCAACTTCGCAGAAAGCAGTACCATCTAGTTGCATTAGATATTGATAGGAGAGGCTAGAAGAGATAACATACCATTTGGAAAGGTAGACCTGTATTGTCATCTATCAGAAGCTAAGTGCTCAGACATCCCATGATTTTGGTTTCCTTCTTATCTGTGAGAAAGTACTCTCTATGCTTCTTTGTTTTAGGGGAGGTCTGTTTCACTTGCTGGAGATTTTTTTGTCCTTATAAGAAGAAGCAATTAAAAAATGGATCATGGTTGTAGCTTAAGCATGAATTTTCTTATGGTATGACTGCCTCCATGAACTGAATGGTAACACAGGGAACTAGTCTCAGAACAAGATGATTAGGTAATAGGTCTAATTGTAAACTTTCCATTACAAATACAAATTCGGTAAAGAAGAGAACCTGGAATGCTCATATATTTATTTTAAGAAGGTAATTGTTATCTATTAAAATGGCTTTTAGGCATTTCTCAACAATAAAATCGTTCCATCTTCTTCCTACTTTGCTGCTGCTAGTGAACAAAAGATAGAGAACAGTCATATGTTTTATAACAGGCCTATAGCTTATTATTAATAACATGTACACACACGTATGTATATTTGTAAATATATATGTATAAAGAGAGATATATATCATTACTGAGATGAAGAATTAAGGCAATTAAAAATATGCCAAAGGCAATTATTGTATTGTAGCTTCTGACTGAATGTCAAGGTACTTATTTCTCTGGCCGTATTACTTAGTACTTTGTTTTGCCATGGGTTTTTGTTTAGGCTGTGGACAGTGGGAGTTACTGTTTGCAAGAGCAGCTGTCGAGGGCAGAGGAGAGAAGGGGAAAGGAAACAGAATGAGAGACAGGAAAACAAAGGATAAGTGAGACAGGGAGAGAGGAAGTGGAACTAGAAAGTGGATGATAAATTAAATGGATAGGAGAGTAGGTAAAATTCAGAGAAAAGGCAAGAAAAATATTTTAGCTTCAGCAACAACGGTAAATGCACTGGGTCCTCTGGAAGGGACTGTAATAGCTATTTCTGGCATGAATATCAGGATATCAGAGGACATGCCTGTGCTGCATACTGTCGTCTGGTAGACAAACTCAAGGCAGATTTAAATAGTTTAAATGAATTATGTTGGGTACCGAGAACTGTCTAGCCAGAGCTGCATGGGTGCTCTGTGGTCTTCTTTATCTTGCAAAGACTGGTTTGTCTGTGTTGTAATGAGTACGGAATAGTCTGTTCAGTTTTTCATAACAGTCTTATTAACAAAGCACTTGAACACTTAATATGATAATGGAGTTTATAATTTTCGTGCTTACTACTCATGACCTGGACCTTAAAATTGGATACTGCTTTTCCAGTTTGTTCCTTTTAGTCATACAATTGTTTGCATGTAACACAAATTAAAACAATGAAAATTTTAGAGTATAATGGGTTTTCTCTTTTGCTTCATTTTTGTCTTTATACAATAAAAAATAAATTCCTTGGTTATTTTAAAAAGAAATCCATTCAAGAAGTGGTTGAGATAAGCTTTAATGCGTGTTGTCTCTCAAGCTAAAATTAACTGGTTATTGCAGGATGTATTATTTGCCAGAAGTATTCATTTAATTTTATTATTCAAAAGTTTTTGTTATTTAAAGGCTAAAAATATTTAAAATGCTAGTTTCTACTTAATGTGAAATGTATTTTTTCCCTTTGAAAGGCTGGACAACACCTTAGAGGAAATTATATTTAAGCTGGTGCCTGGTCTTCGAGAACGTAAGTTTCTCATTTGGTTTTGGGTACCTGTTTGGGCTGATGGAGGGAATATGGCTATTTCTAATTATATACCTGTAGTATTGATTTAAAAATTCACATTACTGTTCTTTGATGTTAACTAGAGGAACTGCAGCGAGAGATCGAATTTTGGAAGAAAAACAAACCTCAAGAAAATGGACAAGGTGATGATTTTTTTTCTTCTCATCTGTATGTTAAGTAACATTGCTCATTAAGCCCTGTTTCTTCAAACACTTATGCATGTACGTTGTTCTTACTGAATTCAAAGATACTACAGAAACTCATAACAAATCTATGTAAATGTAGTCTGGCCCTTCATGTACTGCTGCTTATCTATTAACCAGTTGTTTTACAGACACTAACTGTTTTACAATTATTTTTATTTGCATTTCCCTAAGCTCTCACTTTCAACACTCATGCAGTTTTCCACTTGAATTCTTAATTTTCTTAATACAGCAAGATGCAGAACTACTTGAGTTTTGTGCAGATTATTTTCTGTTACTGAATTTGACCAGCTGTTAAGTAGGAGGTTGTCAAGAATTAGTTATGACAAGTAGTAAAACAGTTTTCCACACATGCCAAACAATTGTTTTATATAGATTCCAAAATGCTTTTGCTTTTTTTCTTTCTTTTTTTTTTTTTTTGTAGTTGACCCATGAACTTTGAGAGCTCAGTATTAGGTGCTAAGTGAGGACTACATCCAACTGTTTTTATGCCCTTTTAATTTGACATCAAGGTTTTGATACCATAGCCTATTTGATTTGGGCATTTTTAAGAATTTTTTGAAAGCTCTGCTAGGCTAAAGAAATAGCTGTTTTTAGTAAAGGATCACTGTCAAGTAAATGTCTTGCAATACTCTTCTGCACTCAGTTGTTCATAATATCTTCTTTTCAACTTCATAACATTTCATTTCCTTTCTCAGTGGTTTTGTTGATTTGCATTTGGCATCAATTATAAGGGACAAGGGTCTTTTCTCTACTACATAATTAAATGAAGAACTGCGGGACAGTTTAGATGAAATTATATTAGTTTACTACAACATACTGTGTAGTGTATACCTATTCAGTTTTAAAAATACTTAGAAAATATTTTTATGAAATATAGACATTTGCTGACTGTTTAGAAAATTGTTCTCTGCTATATACATAGATAGAAAAAAATTGCATATAATTTGCAAATTTGTCGAATGTGACTTACTTTTAACCAATTTATTCTTCTGGTTCTTACCTTCCTCCCATAATTTAATGGTAAACCTAATGGAGATCAGTTACTAAGTGTAATGAGTGATTGTATTGTTTTGTGAATTGGAGGAATGCTCTAACTCTCAAAATATACTTTTAAGTAGCTACAGATGTATCCAGCTCTGTTGGTGACTGTATCCTTGGGCTATGGAAATTTGGCTCTACAAACGATTTGAAAGTTGTGGCAACTCATTGAGACAAATTATGAGCATTTAAACTATTTTCTGCCATAAACAAGCATTTAGAATCTTGCCTGAGAATAAATTATTTGGTGAGAATTATTTCAGTAAAAGGCACTGTTTCAGTTGTCAATACCATGCCCTGCCATCAAATAGTCCATCTAGTTTAAAAGAGTCCTTCAGTTTTATGTCCTGTACCACAGGTCACAACACAGTTCCCAACCATAGCATCTAAGATCTGTAAAAAAATCCCGGGACTTAAAATTTTCACACAGCAGAAGAAAAAAAGAAACAAAACCCAAACAACAAAGCATATCTCAGGCATGGGTGACTCCTCTAGGAGAGTGGTTACTAGAGAGAATTGGTGGATGATGATAGGAAACATGCTGTGGTACAGAGAAAAAAATCTTTATTGATCCTCTCCAGTCTGAACTGGAAAAGGCAGAGGGCAAACAGCTTTACATTGACTCACTTCCTGGCAATCAGGTTTATGTTGAATATCTGAGAAAAGCACAGGAAGTAGACAATTTCCAAGGTTTGCAAGAAAGATGATAAAAAAAAAAGACACCAATTTACACCTTAAGGAAAGAGGTGTGGAGGTGGGTGGGGTGTTGGTTTGGTTTTCCTGTCTTCTGTTCTTGGCTTGGTGCTTTTGACCTGGAGAACACCGTGTCCATTTTGGTGAGATTAAAATTTCTTTTTTCTTTTTCTTTTTTTTCTTTTTTAAATTCTATCATATTGAACTTTAATAACGTGCCTCTAATGAACCATCACATTGATTTCTGGAGTCTGCCTATACAAACATCATTAATTCTAATATCTACAAGGATTTTTTAGTAAACAATCTGGTGCCGTTTACACGGAGGAACATGTGAATTTCTATCAGAACACCTTGAAAGATGCGACATTTTTTGTGTGTGTACCTGTTTCTGGAATGATTTTATGATTGGAAATTTGCTAATTTCCCTACTTCTGTAGTTCGTTTGCCTTTCAAGACTTTCCAAACTGCATAACTAAATCTTCCTCCATTACTCAGCAGTGATAATGGTTGAAAGTTGTGGATGTGTTTGCCTTGCCGAAGAATCTGTGAATTGTAGGCAGACTCCTCAGACAAATGCTTGTGACAGGTAGACTGCACCTGCTTGATTACAAAAAGAAAAAAAATAATCTGTAGTTTGATACTGTAAATTCTGTTCATAGCAAGATAGTAGGAACAAAATGTATGTATGATAGACATTCAGCTAAATGTGTCAACAGCTAGTAGGGACTTGTGGACAAATCTTTTATAATTATAAAATACTTCAAAATTGTAAGACAGAAAAGTAATGAGTATAGCTTAAAACTCATCTTGAATATGTAAACTGAACAAAATGAACTAATTATTGTGTCTAGAAACTTAGGCATAGCTTGATATTTCTTAAAGTTTTCATTCTATCTTCCCATCTTAACTCTTCTAAATGATTTCAAAAGTTTGTGGTAAGTGTAGGAAAACAGCAAAATGTGATCTGAAAGTTTTTCAGGAAATGCGAATGTAGCTTATTCAATTTCCTTGTGATAATGTTTTATTCCAACAGAGAGCAGCCTGTATCTGGGGATACAGAAAAAACCCCAAATGTATATAATAAAGTTATTGTTTACTGTATTCCAAATCTGTAAAAATTACTCCATTTTATGGTTCATTGTATGGTTATTATTTACATACATTGTGGCCTTATCTAGATGCACTTGCTAGTCTTAGCATTCCAGTGTTCAACTATGCTAAACCTTTGAAAACTGTAGGAGGTGGTACGTTTTCCGAAGAGTTAAATTTTTAAACCAGGAATCAATAGAACATGTAACAGCATCAGTGAAGAGAGATAACATGGTACATGTGATTATATAGGATATGTGCACTCTGCCAAAGAATATGGGGACCATTCCTCTTTTCTTATATTTTTTGTTTTTAAAGGTGAATAAGTAACTGTATAGCTATTTAGTTATAAAATCCTTCTGGAGAGAGACACCTGAAGTTTTTACAATGACATTACTTAGACTAGATCAAAAGTGGATGAAATTTAAGTTTTATCTTCCCTTAGTTTATTTCATGATAATGTTTCAGGAACTTGCCTCCACTGGGTTATTGCGGCAGACAGTTAATATTGATTGCCCATGTTACTTTGATATACAAGTGTCAGGATTAGTTATTCAACTGTTTATTTAAAAGCAGTATTTTTTGGCAGTGAACTGCCACACCACAGAGTAGTTTATGTCGGTTTATGTTGTTGAGTGATTTTGATGGATGCACAGTTGCAGGGTTTTGATCACTGGACACAGACAGAAGTAGACAGCCATAACCATTAGTGGTCCATCAGACTAATTATTTTCTGTCACATATAAATCTGTTGTTTGCATATTACATTAAAATTTCAATAGTAAAACTTTGTTTTCAGAGATTTGTAAATTGATCAATTTAAGAATGCACTGAGTTAAAATTGTATAAAGTTAATTTGAAGAAAATTATGCTCTTGAAAATGAAGTGTTACTTTAAATGTGATTGTTGCTACTGTGACTTCTAATTATTTTACACTTAAATAATATGATCTTCATATTTTACAGATGAAAGCCCAAAAGCTGATAAACCCAAAGTAGATGAGGAGTGTGATGAAAATGAAGAAGATAAAGACTATCACAGGAGTGACCCACAGATTGCTATTTGCCTCGACTGTTTGCGCAACAATGGGCAGTCAGGAGATAATGTAGTCAAAGTGAGTAGTAAAGATAGTCTGTGCTGTTGTTATTGTTGGCAGAACAGCATTTTACAGGGACCAAATAATTTTATAACCATTAACAATTAACTTTAATGTGGTGACCTATCTCCACTTCCATGCCTATTTAGTCCTTTTGTTTGAGGCATTGCGATGCATCTTGGAATTTTGTAGAAAATACAGTTCCATACAGAAATCCACTCATGACAGTGGATTTTTTTGTGTGTGTGTTTTTATGGACTATAGTTTTGTAGTCTGCAGCCTTGATGGTACATAACTGCATTACACAACAGTTTACAGCACACCACAGAGGTACTTAAAAAGCTAGCTGTAGATGAGCTGCCTCACACTTTCAGGATTGCTGTCTTATCATGCCAGCACAAAGCTGCTTTCCAGATATGTTGTGCACTGAATGACTGGGATCCAGATCTTCTGAGCTGTAAACCTGATTCTGACACTGATGTGTTGTCTGTGGCCTTCAGCAGGTCACTTTCATCTGTAAAATGTGTAGAGAAATACCTGCTAACTGCTGTTTTAAGAATTAGGGATATTTGGTTTCTATTCCTGAAGGGAGGATTATCTAATGGCATCGAGTCTAGAAGAAAGTGTTTAGAAGTCCACTTAGATTTTAATGCTTTATTAAATTACAAAGACAAGAATTCAAAAATACTAAATATTTTCTGTGTGCTATGTTACGTGTGTAATTTTGGAAGTTCTTACACAGTAAGAAGGTTTTGATTCGGCAAGAAAACATTTGTATGTGTTATCACTGTCTGTTTATGCTATATACAGTAAGAAATCTGTATCTCCATCACCATGTAGGAGTCCCAGGTTTCCAGCTTTCCTGTTGAATCAAAACTATTAGGTTCTGGATCACAGAATCTGTGATAATAGATCACATCTCAGGTTTGTAGCTTCCCTGTATTTTACCTAGATTATTTGAGGATGGTTTTACTTCCTTTTTCTCTCAAGGACTGAAGAAATTCTAAGAAGTTCTAAGGAACGTAACATCTGTTTGACCCCCAGTGTTACTAACGCAGAGACTTAGATTATTTAAGTTCTTCTGGGACTTTTGGTGGTTTTGGTGTTTGGTTTGGTTGGTTTTTTTCTTTCGTCCCTTCTGTATCTTTTGGAAATTTCTTTAGAACCAGAGATGGGTCAAATGAATTTGTTTGTCATCTTGTAAATTTTGCAAAAAAAAGTGAACAAAAATGAACCTATGGTGCCATTATGAATTAGAAGAGAGTGCAGTAAAATTGGTTACTGGTTGAAAAAAAAATCAATTACAGCTGTTCTTGCACTAAAGATTGCTTAAATGCTCCAAAATTTCTAACATGCTTTTTCTGTTTTGTTGCTGTTGCTTTAGGGTTTAATGAAGAAATTTATCCGCTGTTCTACTCGAGTGACTGTGGGAACTATCAAAAAGTTTCTCAGCTTAAAATTAAAACTTCCAAGTTCTTATGAGGTACATTTGAAAGAACGATGCTTGTGTTTTTATTTCCATGCAAAGTGTTAGGTTTTTATGAAATTTAATCACATTTGAACTTAAGGAATATTTTTTTAGCCCAATCACTAAGTACTGTTCAATATTCCAAGTTATATTTTCTGCCCTTAAATGAGAAGTGATCATTTTATCACATTGACTAAAGTTGCTAATCAAAGACTTCATACAATTATAGTAACTTCAGTTTCTTGCTTACCTGTGAAGGAACAGATACATTAGTTTTTTGTATTTTTATGTAAAAAACAAATGCTTTCACTTTTCATGTGGCTAATAAAAAAGTCACTTAATATAGTTGTGGGCTAGTAGTAGCTACTGGGGAAAAGGAGAGCTCAACTAGACATACACCAAATTACTCTGCATTTTCATTTTCTTTAGATGTAAGAAACTATCCAGTAATTATGAAGAAATGAGGAGCAATACCATCTGAATCTTTCAAAATGCATATAGTTTTTTTGCACCTTCTCTGTAAATAGGTGGAATTTGATGGAGAGAGGGTCTTTGCTGCATGAGTGATTTGAGCTTGGCCAAGACTGTTCCCTGGGGGGGATTTGCTAACAAGGTAGAAGTTGTGATGCGGGGTGGAGCTGGAAAGTGTGAGACTTGTGCCTCTGCTTCCCCTCTTCCCAGGGATACAGGAATTTTGACCTCAGCACAGACTATTTCTTCAGCCAGTTCTCTTACAGGAGTCAATGACTCCATGAACTGCAGCCTGCCTCTAGCACAAATGGCAGCATCCCAGCTTTGGTTGGAGGTAGGGCTGAGTTAGGTTATTGCAGAGCTATACACAGGAGTTTGTCTCAGTATTGTGACATGCTGACCAGCCATTCTGATGTCGTTTGGTTTTGTTAATTATGTTCATTTAATCTGTCTCAGGCACCTTCATGGCTTGTGTTACATAGTATCTGCTTACTTCAAAATTTTGACATTCTTTTCCTCTAAAAAACAGAAAAGCATTATGACTATAGTAATGAAAGAATTGTCAAACATTTTCAGTGGAGCGTAGAAGTAAGATGCTATAATACAGTTTAAACCAGTCATTTTTCACAGTAAGATCATTACTTTTCTTTTTCCTTTGCCTTTGGTCAATGAGCAGTCATGTTTGTATACTCAGAAGTGCATTTTCCTTGTAATTTATGGTTACTTTTAAACTATTTTTTTTAATTATAATTTATTTTTTAAAGATTAGAATTACAGTACTTCTGGTTTGTATCTTTGCGTTTGAAAGAGTGTTGACATAGCAAGAAGGCCTTCAAAATACAGCACGAGGCTTTCTCTTGTATAGTACAATACTACAATACTGTGTAGTGTTGATAAATACAGCGAGTGTTTGTCTACTAGTGATTTCCTACCTAGTTTAGCAGACTTTCTTCTGTCCACACCTTAATTGAAATCACAAAAGTGAAAAAATGAAGTGGAATATTAGTGTACAAAATAGCATATTGTCAGCATGTTGTATTTATTCAGGTTTGATTTACATGTCTGATGGATTTATTGTATAATGATAGGGGTTGAGGGATTAACTCTCAGAGATTCACGTAGGAGTTCATTTAGACATTAAAATTTTGCATCCCTTTGTCTTACTGTTTGTTCTGTTGTATTTTAAGCTGGATGTACTATGCAATGGAGAAATCATGGGGAAGGATCATACTATGGAATTCATCTATATGACAAGATGGAGACTAAGAGGCGAAAACGTAAATGCTGTTATATTATTAATAAAGGATGTTTTGGTATATTAGAGAGAGTATACATGCTTTCACAGCTTGGTCCAAAATATATTCTGTGGCCCTTCAAGAAACCCTTATTTAAAAATGCATTTTGCATGTTTTCTGGATTTCTGTGTTAAACTGTATGAGTGAAACCCAGCAGCACATATATTGTGTAGATTCTGAAACTTAAAAATAGCAAGTATACAAAATTTACATGCAAGTTCTGCTCTGAGTTTTAAGTTCAGTATCTGAAAACCCGAACACTTGTTCTTTTTCTGCAAATTTGCTTTTAGTGACCTTTTGATTTGCAGTAGTTGGGAATCTGCATCCAGCGGTTCTTTATTAAGAATCTGTTTTATTCAGTCAGTAAACTGAAAGTGATACTGAAAAATTATTGGTGAAATCTAATTGTTTTATTACTGTTTCTGTTAATACTACACCCATTTTTTTTAGATACGCTGTATAACACTAATATCCAGATAACACAGCTAAATGGGTTTTCCTTGCTGCATGTGTATAATTTAGAATTGCAATATTTAACTTATTAAAAGACATTTTTTTCAGGTCTGATATTCAGTTTGATTTAGTAGCTATTATATTGCCTTGTATATTTAATTTTTTTTTGTTAGAAGTCATATCCCCATTTCTTCTCTTTATTTTGTACATTCGTTCATGTGTAGCTGTTGATTGTCCTCCACTCTCTATTGCTTTGTAGTATGTGCAGAATTGTTGTCTATCACTACCAGTGGAGGCTATATTGGAGTGCAGCTAAGGTTAAGCACTTAACATATGTTAATGTACTGATCTGTAGAAAATTCCAAACTTTCTGTACTCTTTTTTTTTTTTAAGCTTCCTAGTACTCAGAATAAAGAGCACTGGGGCACAGAGAAGACAGAGGATTAAGCACACTGTGGAGTTAACAATTCACAAGTCTCTTAAAGTTTTACCTTAATCTGAAGGGGAAGGGGGAGGGATAGAGTTTGATAGGAATTAGGGGGGGTAATGTATATAGGCAAGTTTTCATTAAATTTGAAAGTCATACTGCACTGAAATTTGGTGATTGCTGAAACCCCAATATTGCACCAATAAGGGAGCTTTAAGTAGTATTTTTTCCAATACTACCTTGAAACCGGTGGGTGTTTGTTTGGCTTGCCATCTTATATTTTTGTTAGCATTGGTTGTACTATTAGGAAGTGTTGAAGGAAACAACTTTAGCGATAATGGAATTTTTTCATGACTTTTAATCCTGCAGCCCCTGCCCACAAATGGACTTTTGGCACTTGCATTGGTTTGGAAACAACAGTAACTATCATCTTGACAAAAAAGACATTATTTGTACTTGTTAAAATTTTTCAAAAATCTCAGAACTACAGGTTTTAACATTAAGTGAATATAGGAGCTGACAACTCTTGATTAAATTTGTAAGTTGTGTTTACATACACATAATATAGTCAGGTATGTGTTCAACTTTTCCTTTGTGTAGTTTTAAATCACTCCCCTGAAGTCAGAGATTACAAATTAAAACCTGTAAAAATTACATTCTGTTGATAATAAATCCAGTAACATCTGGGCTTCTATGATTTTGTTTTCCTAGCTGTGTTGGGTCTTGTTATAAGTTGTGATGGTAATTAATTAACAACCTCTTCTTTTGGATGAAGATCAAGTAAATCTATTACCTCCATCTTTGGTACTATTCACCATGAGTTTTTACTGGCACACCTGTGGACCTTACAAGAGGTAGACTAGTAAAGGGAAAATATCCATTTATTCGTTGGAGAAGTCTTTCTTGTTTTAAATAAGTAAATTCATTTTAAGCTTTACATTTGAAAATTTAAAAAAAACAAAACATTAAATGGTAAATGTATATGTCCAGCTGTGGATGCCTCTTATCTGATCAGAAAATCATCTCCTTCGCAGTTTCGGTGTCAGAACTGCTCATCTTCGCAAGTCTGCTCACAGGATGGCACTTTTTATCAGGTAAGAGGCACTCACAACTGTACATACTACAGTCATTAAGGTCCTGTCAGCACTTCAATTGTAATCCAAGTTGTGGAGTTTTTATAATTCCCCACTACAAAGTGCTAAAACTCTATGAGCAAGGACTGAGCATTTTCATTCCTTCAGAGAAAGCTTTATTGAATGAATAAATAGAATCCATTCAAAAGGTTTAGGGATTTCTTTTACTTTACATTAGGCCATTTATCTTTTTGTTAGAGAGATACCATTCTGTAGGCTGATAGCTGCATCAGTCTGGAAGGATTATCTACCTCTTCCTATCTCATCCTTCTAATTAGTAGCATTGGGCAGTCACTGACAAGGGATCAAAACTGAAGAGTGTGAATCAAGAGAGACCACGTTGCTTTCAATTCCTTATGGCAATTCATGTGTTCTTTTTAATGGAGTAAAGAAATGTTAGGTTTTTCTAATACTGTATTCCTTTCATATCTTTTAAAATTAGAAATGGAGCAACGCCCTATCTCTAGAATAGAACAAATCAAAACCTCCAGAATCTGCAAAATGAATTTGATTTCTAAATTTCATCGATCAATCTAGTTCATACCTATATGAAACAATATTTCAGTTTCCTCATTGAGAATTTTCATTTGAACTAAGATCTAAAAGTTACTTTGGAAGTTTGAAATAATATTTTTGCTTGAGCAAAAAATTAAAGTTGATGATAGAGGGCGGGGAGGGTCACTCCCCACTATGGATGGGAGTGACCTACTGCAGTCATGCCTACTTCAATAATTAGAATTGTTCCAGCATAAGGCATTTGATTTGTACAGTTGCTTTGTAATTTTGTTTGCAAAAACACTGAGCCTCACTGGTTTACATGGCAATTTCAGTGAGGTGACTGCTCTGTCTGCCTGCGTGCACTTCCGATTAGACTTGAGTACCTTTAGAGACGATTTATATAATCAAAGTGAAAAACATGTGAAATAAATAGCATTTAATTAATATGGGAGTCATATCCTATGCAAAAAAATCAGAGACCAAGTAATTTATGATACTACAAATATGTTTGTTAATTGCACATGCAGACTGCACATGGTGCTCCCTGTCTTCTCTCCTAAATGCTCCTGCTACTGTGGAATACCTCTGGGTTTATGTTGTGATTTCTCTGCACTCCAGTTTGTAAATCCCCAGCAAGTATGACCACATTTAGTTCTGGTGATCATTTTATTAACCTGTATAGGTCTCTGCAGTGATATGTTTCTTTTTTGGTCACTGAAGTTCATCTGTATTGCATTTGAAGGATGCAGTAAAATATTTCTGGTTTTAATTATAGCTTATGTAATAATTCTTTTTATTTCCAAATTTGCAATAAAAAACCTTAAATTAGCTATGTTCCTCTGCCCTGTGGCAGAGAGGTAGTTAAGCCCATACAGCTCCTGAGACAATAAGATTTTCCTGGGTTTTATGCTATAGAAAATGTCTAGTATCCTAATGAAGTTAAGAGGAAAACATCAGGCTTAAATGAAATGCTGACAGACTGAAAAAATAAGACATTTAGTAAAACAGCACTTCCAGCAATGAACGTCCAGGTATTCCATGGCACTTTCTGGAAACCCACCCACTCTTGCTTCCCATTCTACAACACTTCTGTCCAATTCAGGGATCCAACCAGCTGAATTGCCGAATAAACTAATAAGAAACTAATAAAAATGTATCACTAGATCTGAAGTTGAGGCGTTTGGATCTGGGGGAGAAGTTAGCCCTCATCTCTCAGAAAATCAGCTGACAGCAATTTGATGTGATTTTTTCTTTTTTAATTTTTAATACCAGAGTAGCCTGGATCCCATTAACTAGTGCTGACTACTAGTATAGCTATGGAACCTCTGTATATATAAAAACCAAAGTACATCAACTGTAAATAGACTTTGGTTTAGAAAGTATAAAATTTCAAGATTGCTTTTTCTAAAACACAGCAACAGAGAAATAAGAGGAATTGTTTGAGCACTCCAAGTATCGATGTTGTAAAACATAAATCATGAAATATATAAAAGCAGATACAGGAATTTTATATTAATGACAAATAACTACAACTAACTGACTTAGAGATTAAATATAGATTTGAAGTACAGGTATGGATTTAACTGTTGAAATATATAAAGTTATTTCACAGAAATAAAACTGATTGTCATATACATGTGTCTTAGGGATAAGTTCTGGCTATTCTTAAGGCAATCTTTAATTGCATTTTCTTTGTATTTTTTATGAATTATGTCTTCATGTTTTCTTGTCTGTTTTTGTTGTTGTTTTTCTCTTGCCTTTGTTTTTAGTCTTACCCTATGGTACTTCAGTATCGACCTAGAATTGACTTCGGTTAGACCAAAGGGCCAGATCCCACTGAGATGAATCCTGCACTATTTGTTTACCCATCGACAGATTGCACAATGAATGGATGTGCCTGGATTAGGGGGACACAACCAGATTTTCAGCATGCAAATAAGGACATTGTCTTTCTTAAAATTGTCAGTTGCATCTCTGTTGTTTCGATTAGAGCAAGCCAAGTGCCATTCTGCTACTGAAATGTGCATAAGATATTCGTGTATCTTACGAGTGTGCTGCAAATCATAGCCAAAATCATGAAGTGTACAGTCAAGATTCAAAAACTATGGGATAATTTTGCTTGCGTGTTAGAAAATTTTTCTGGTCCCAATATTGATTACACTAGCAAAATGGCAGAGTGCTCATTCCATGTGGTGTTGCAGTTTCACACACTTACTATTTTACTGAATATTGTTGTTTAAATCATAGAGTACTGTACAAATAACTAAGGATTATACCTTGAAAATATTTTGTATAGAAAATATATTTAGAAAAGTGGTGATAGGGCCACTACCTTTTTCTTGATAAGCTTCTCATGGGTCCAGGTATAGCTCACTCATGAGTGTGCAACAGTCCTTTTGCAGTGAATGAAGATTAATTACCCTTAACAAGAGATGTAGAACATGGTAATTCAAAACAGTAATTTTAAATCTTCTAAATAGATTCTGCTAATATTGCTTAAAAGCATCGCAGCCTTTGTGATTGCACTTTTCTATGGTTTCCCTGAAGATTGGAATTTGGGATACTAGCTATTTTTGGAAAATGGCTTCTGGTCAGATTACATTTCTTCTAATAAAGTTTCCATAAAAATGAAGTTAAAAATAATGTAAATGTCTATGGAACAAATAAATTTCGCTATAAGATTACAAACAAGGCAAAATTCTACATAATTACTGCCTTTCTTAGTAAGCATTTCCTTTTAAGATTGGTTGGAGGTATATAATATGTTAAGAAAAAAGTAATACGTAGCTTTAATTACATTATATATCTCTTGTGACTATCTGGAGTTTAGAATTCATTACAGAAATTTTCATTAGTTAAAGTCACATCATAAAACTATTTCCATAAAATTAGAGGTAATGCAATACTGAAGATAAGCAGTCTGACCAAAATAATTGTTCAGGTCTTTTTTTTTTCCTAAGACCTGGTAGTGCTGGATAAAAAGTGATTGTTGCCTTAGGTATTGCAAGCGTAATGGTTCTAGTATAGAATGTTTATTAGGGTTTCTGGTAATGTTGCAGGGAGCCTAGTAATGCATATGTTTTCTGTAGTCTTCCATTGTCCTTGTTCTGCTTAAAAGTCGGTTGAGTTTTTCACTTCAAATTCTGTAGAGATACTTACAGTTCAGTACCTTTATGTAATTTCTACTTAATACATGCCTGCTAGTATTGTAGATAACTTTACTTTCTTATGCTTTTTGCATACAGCAAAAAGGAACCAAATCAATTCTTCAGAAGCTACTATAGAGTGAACTAATCATTCTTAGATAAGACAAAGTGAAAATTCTATCTTGGGATTAAGCGTAAAAGATAGATGCAAGGCTGTAACTCCTTTGTAAATTTATGTTCATGTACATTAGTGTGTTTCTGTAGGAGAAATAAGCATGTTGTGGATTAAATCTGGCCCCTTTAATGTTAGTAGGAGTTCTAACACTGATGACTTGAGGAATCCATATATAGTTGGGTTGAATTCTACCATTGCACTCCAAAGCCCATATGACATGCAGAAATAAAGATGCTGTCGGTAGCAGTCTGTTTAGGAAACCTGCCATTGCAGGTCCAGGTTGCACATATTGTGCAGATGCCAGTGAACCTGGGGAAGCAAAATGTTTAGGAAGCTGCTGCTCCTGTCTGCAGGCATAGTGTGCTGACTGATCTAGGCAGTGGTTTGCCCACACTGTAGATGGGAAGGGGTGCACATGCTGGCTGCAGGAAGCGGTCGTCTTTTTGCCCACCCAGTCTATGATGTGCTACTTGACAGAAACAAGAAGATACTCCTTGTAGGGAGGGCCCTTCTCCTCTGCAGAGTCTCTAGGGAAAGATAGAGTCTTTGTGTATATGGAGGTCCTCCTCATGGAGCAGTTTGAAAGAGCACAGCATGCATTCTAATTGCAAATCATTCTTCTCTTTAGTATATACAGTCATTTTGTACAGTAGGAATAGGGTATTATTTGTAAATATTTACATGCACATACAAATGACACCTTACAGTTTTTATATATTTCACGTGTTTTTATACCAGAATTTTCACTGTAGATTAACTTGACATAAACCACCTGTTTCAGTTTATCACAAAACTAATGGTACTACACTTCAGCATAATTTCTGCTTGGTTCAGGGGACAATTTTTTTCTCAACAGTTGTGCTTGCTGTTTTGGCAAATTTGAACAGATTTGTTTTAAAAGGAAAAGAGCACATTATTTTAAATCCATTTAAAGTTATCTTACACAGAAGTTTGCATCCATGTAACAGGAACGCTGAAACAGGACTACTTTGTATTGGCTTCTGAATGGCAACTAATAGAAGATTTGACTGTTTGTTGTGGTTTAACCCCAGCCGGCAGCTCAGCCCCACACAGCTGCTCGCTCACTCCCCCCCTGGTGGGATGGGGGAGAGAATCAGAAGGGTAAAAGTGAGAAAACTTGTGGGTTGAGGTAAAGACAGTTTAGTAAGTAAAGCAAAAGCCGTGCACGCAAGCAAAGCAAAACAAGGAACTCATTCACTATTTCCCATGGACAGGCAGGTGTTCAGCCATCTCCAGGAAAGCAGGGCTCCATCACGTGTAACAGCTACTTGGGGAGACAAATGCCATCACTCCCAATGTCCCCCATTCCTTCTTCCCCCAGCTTTATATGCTGAGCATGGTGTCATACGGTCTGGAATATCCCTGTGGTCAGTTGGGGTCAGCTGTCCTGGCTGTGTCCCCTCCCAACTTCTTGTCCCCCCCGGCCTCCTCGCTGGTGGGGTGGGGTGAGAAGCAGAAAAGGCCTGGACTCTGTGTAAGCACTGCTCAGCAGTAACAAAAACATCCCTGAATTTCCAACGCTGTTGTCAGCACAAATCCAAGACATAGCCCTGTGCTAGCTACTATGAAGAAAATTAACTCTACCCCAGCCAAACCCAGCACACTGTTTAATGACTTTCTGTATTCACACTTCAGAGAACCACGAATCCTCTTGTTCAGAATTGGACATTGGTTTAATTCATGGTATTTTCTTGATGCAACTTAAAGCTAGATTACAGAAGGCAAATCTTCATTTTAAGCATGGAAAATACTGACAGATATGATTTAATGTTCCCAGCTGAGAATCATGGCATTAAATGCATATGATCTACCTACTCTTTATGCATTTCTGATTCGATGGCACGGTGCCCGAGTGCTGTTGTAGTTTAATAGTTTTTGTAGCAGCGAAGTGCCAGTGAATTACATATCTTAACTGGGCAGCTTGTATGACACAGGCATTGCCTTCTTCACAGGAAATATCTCTCCTGTATAGTACGTATGTGCCATGTGTCTACAGATATGCATATTTAATTCATTTGTGCCAATTAAGAATATCTGAACAGCATAAGAATATGAGAATGTGTGTACAGATTCCTGTGTGCCAAAGATAGGGTAAAGTGAAATGAGTACTTAAGCATTCCATTAAAACTGCACCATATGCCATCCTAGAGCAGATGACTGTATACAGTCACACTTTCTGAGCATTTCCATGACAAAGTGTCACCACTGCATGTTTGTAAAGAAAAGGAATATAAAATGAGTGTTGCTGCCACTGTATTTCTATGGCTTTCCTGTATCAGGAGTACCAAGCTGTGCAGGAATAAGACCTAAAAAATTCCATACTACTACCTAACCTTCCTGTCTCTTATTTAGCACGTTTGGTGGGGGCTTTTTTTCCCCTAAAAGTGAAAAGCTTCAATCTGCTTTTAACTCTGGGGTAACTCATTAATGAGAATCACAAGCAACTTTTTGCTGAGCATAGCTGTATGCTGCATCCCTCTAGTAACAAACTGTGTAGCTGGAATTTACAAACAAGATCCTATAATATCTCAAACAATATGGAATTGGATGATTAATGAAGAAATGTATCTTCCATTATGCATTACTACACTGCTCACAGCTAAGGGCCTAGTCCTATAAACATATTTTTATTGGGGTGAAATACCAAATAAGATTGCTACAGTAATTAAGTGACTCATCACTATAGTAGGTACTGTTCACATGAAAGCTTCTGGGATTTGGGTCCTAGGAGTATGCAATGCTCTAAGTATATTGTGCATACTCAGCTAGCTTGCAGTTATTATGCAAAACAAATTTATAAAAAGTATTATTTTGAAAACGTTACATAAAGCAAAGTGCCTGATTATTAATACAGAATACCTTTTAAGCCCTTTATTTGCATTTGGCAGGGTAGTATTTGCTTCTGTATTTTATCTATGGTCTTAATATTTTCAGCAAGAATATTTCATAAACATGCTGTATTGAGAAAATTTCTTTCATGGGAAGCAAGCAGAAAAAGAAATGTGTTCTGTTAGATAATTGAAAATTGAAAAAAACTATCTCAGAAACTATATGAAAAGAATTGCTTTTATATTGAAATTATTTCATTTTCTGCATGAGGAACCCTTGAATTTGGGATCTTGGTCTTTTTTTCTCCGTAGGTTCCAACAAATTGACCTGACTTTTCTTTCTGCAGTTATCAAAACCAGTTCCAGTATATCTACAGGAGAAAAGAGATTGATCACATTGCCCTTAGATATAAGCTGGGCTCTTGTTCTCTGCTGCAGACAAAGTAATGGTCCAGAGTTCCATCTCATCTCTCCCATGTGTAATTGTTACACGTGACTTTCTGAGAGAAGTAAACAATTTTTCCTTCTCTGCTGTTTTCTAAAATAACACAATAGGCCAGGGTTTAGTCCTTTAATTGAACCAATCACTGAGTTGTACTGTTCCCTTTGTGGCTTTTTAAATTTTCGTATCACTGAAGACACCAAGAGGCACTCACTCCCCAGGAAAAATACTCTTGGGAGGACTTGCGACAAAAGGAATAACATCCAGCTCAGCCAGATACTATGTCTGGTAGAAATACTAGAGAACAGACAGTTGCTCAAAGCCAGTCTTAAGTCTCAAAATAAACAGATTGAGCCCTGTTTATAGAGGGGCTACATAAAATACTGGTCAATTACATGGACTGATCAAACTCATTTTTATCCTGGAAAAGACCAAAGGCAGTTAAGACTTACATGCCTATCCACAACAAATATGTCAACAGAGACGCTTAATCAAGGGCTTGGTCCAGTTTTTTCACTTAACCTAGACAGGTTGAAGGCATCTGTTTGCTTCCATCAAAAATGCATATAGCATGCAGGATATTTCCGTCTCATTTTACTTCATGCTATGTTATTTTATTGTTTATCTCAGTTAAAATGTCTATTCAGGCACCCTCTGTCCTGTAATTAATTCTAGGTTCTTACACATCTTTTGCCCATTCCCATACCCCACCCCATTTCGTGCCCAACAAGTAGAAACATTGAGGAGTTATGGCACATGAGGAATCTGCTCATAGGTTTCATTCGTCAGGCAGCTTTCATGGATTTCAGCAAAGTTTTCACAGTTCTGAATTTTGAATCCCTTATAGCCTGTTTGAACAAGGTAATGCTTCCACAAGGTGTTCAGCTAAAGACACTTGTTTGAGGAAGGATGGCAGTCTACTGGAGTGTGTTCCAGGATGAATTCTGAGACACATAGGGGTTGATTCACCCTAAATGAAATGTGTAAAGCTTCCAACTGCTCATTTACCACTAGTTTTATCACATATGGGTGGTCTGGCCTTCAGACCTCAGCTGAAACATCCTTCTGTAGGAATGTCCTCCAAAAGATGATCTTATAATGGTAATCTATTTTTCTTCACAAGCAGATCTACCTGTTGAATTTTTTTTTTAAACTACTGTCTACACTGTCTGTAGATCAGATTAAAACATCAGATTCCAGAACAGGAGATTGATTAATTAATGAATTCCTGACAGATTCTTCCATCCCAGGTGTATGCCATAATTCTTCGTCTGAATTCAGGCAGCTTGCTACTACAGTTGAGTAAGGACGTTGTTCCATTCTCTAGTAAGCAGTTTAGATCCATACAGTTCTGGAGTGTGGCAGCGAGACAGAGGAGCTCTACAGACAAGTGGAAATGTCCAGGCTGCCTTTTGTACTTGCAGAAAGAGACCCAGTTCTGTAGGCTCGGGATGGAGGAGACATTCTGGCATGAAAGGTGTCTACAAGTGGAAGTTTTTGTCCTTACATTAATTTTAACCAAAGAGAGGCATTAGTTTGACTTTGCATGTTTATCTGAACCATTAGGCGCACTTTTCTTTGAAGTAACTTTTATGTGTATTTTTAGCAAATGCTTCTGACAAGGTTAATAATGTGACAGTTGGCAGGATGAGGTGAACAGAAGTAGTTACTGTGCATTTTCCTTTTTCCTTATGATAGTGAGTGGAAAGCAAAGTATGAGTTGAGAGTAGGTTGCTATACAATATACAAAATTGCTGCAACAGTAAAACGTTTGTGCTGCTAGTTAACATACTGAGGTTTGTATTACAAATGAAGTTGTAATAAAGATGTTTATTATCAAAGTGCAAGGCACATATTTTATGATGCTATTCTACTCCTAAATTCTGTTTTGTATTATATTGAGTAAGTAGACATTGTTGCTGTTTTCTCATGAATTTTGATGCGGTAAAATGAAAGATGCTCCCTTTTTACTGAAAAATACCATATACTAATTGATTTAAAATTACTCTTTGTTGTCAGATATTTAGTTTGTTCATAAAAAAAAGTTTTTTTAAATAAACTATTTTTATGGATAATCTGATTGCCTAGTAGTTTTAAGGGACCTATTTAATACCAAAGGTAAAGCCACCCAGAAACTGCCTTGGAATAAGGCATTGACACTTTTCTGGAGCGCAGTGGTCGAGAGTTACACCTGGAATCAGTCAAGCAGAACTTAACTGGTGGTAGCTGTCTGTGTCACCAAGCTAAAGGGTTAGGCACACCCAGCAGTTTCCAAAACAAAATAGAAAAGGAAAAGAACAACAGGAGTAGCATAAAGGTTGAGTTAACAGACCTAGAGTAGCTCTTTGAGTCATAGCTCATGTTCCCAGTGAAAAGCACAAAGGCTTGCATTACTGATGTGTCTGCTATACCTGGCCTGTGAACTAATAAAAAACTTCAGCGTGCTGTCAATCCTGTAAACCTTCCAAAGCACAAAATATTCACCAAGCTACTTTGGGGTTTTCTAGTTGTAGTTCAGTGATATTTTGGAGGGTCAAAAGGACAAACTTGGAGGATAATGAGAAGATATTAGGTATGTTTTACAGATTTTTATAGATATTTTTTTAGCAAAAGGCAGTGCTATCCTTGACATGAGACCATTGATTAGCAAGAAGTCAACTATTTTACTTGTGCAGTATAAAACAGAAAGAACAAAGAAATCCAAATATCTTGATTTCCTTTTCCAGGATAGTGATTAACTAAACTGGAAAGTACTAAGACGATTTAATTATTTAGCTGACTGAAACATTTCATTCTAAAAACTTACTGATCCT